TTTGAGCTCAAGCCAGTAAAAGGGAAGTATAACGTAGTTGCGGATGCTCTGAGTAGGAGAGCGGACTACTTTGGAGCAATAGTTCACTATCTGGACATAGGGAAGGACCTGCAGCAACAGGTTAGAGAAGCGTACACGCATGACCCTATTTATAGTGACCTTCTTAAGAAAGTCAAGGAGGCCCTAGAGACCGAGCCAGATTACCGCACTACTGAGGGGTTGCTTTTTTAGAAGACTAACATATTTGACCGATTGTGCATTCCCAATAGCGAAGAGATCCGTAGTCTGATCTTAGGAGAATGCCACGACACAAAGGGTCATTTCGGTTGGCAAAAGACTCTGGCCAATCTAATGGACGCGTACACCTGGCCGGGTATGAAGAATGACTGCATAGAGTATGTTCGCAGTTGTAAAGTCTGTCAGCGGAATAAGACTACTACGCGTGCCCCGCTAGGTCTTCTCAGACCCTTACCTATCCCTGATCAGCCCGGAGATTCAGTGTCCATCGACTTCATGGACGCGGGCGTTAAGAGTAGACATGGCAAGAGCCAAGTCATGGTGATAGTCGATAGATTCAGTAAGTATGCTGTTTTTGTTCCTTTGCCTTCAGAGGCACGCACAAAGTTAGTCATTCACAAGTTTTTCGATCATTGGGTCAGTGAGCACGGGGTCCCATTGTCTATAGTTAGTGATAGAGACACCCGGTTCACGAGTCAGAACTGGCAGGAATTGATGGAAGTCTATGGTTCTAAGTTACTAATGTCATCTGGCCGTCATCCAGAAACCAACGGTCAGACTGAGCAAATGAATAAGATCCTGCAGCAAGTTCTGAGAATGTACATTAGACCAGATCAAGTTGACTGGGATGAGATGCTTCCCAAGGTAGCCAATGCTTACAACAATAGTGTGCATCTGTCTACGTGCCGCACTCCCAACGAACTACACAAGTCCTTCAGACTGCGCAGAGCATTTGAGGGACTTAACCGGGATCAGATCCATCGGCTACCGCCCGGGACCAGGGAGTTCGCTATCCAGCACGAGAAAGAACTAGCTACTGTTGTAGAGAACCTCAGGAAGGCCCAGCATAGGATGATAGAGCAAGCCAATAAACATCATCGCCCCTCGCAGTTTCAAGTAGGCGACTTAGTCTGGGTCAGTTCTAAAGAGTTTACACCTGAGGAGAACATCTCGCAGAAGTTACTGCCTACGTATAGAGGGCCATGGCCGGTTTTAGAAGTCAAGCGTGGAGAGAATGGTCCGTCCTATACCATCGAGATTCCATTACACCTCCACACCTACCCAGTTTTCCATGCGTCAAAGTTATTGCCATGCACGGTGAGTGATCAGTTCCCGTCGAGACGATCCATGATCCCACCAGACATGGATGGAAGGTATGACATTGGTGGCATTGTAGGTGAAGATGTGTTTAGAACAGGAGGTAGGGGTCGTCCTCAGAAACAGTACAAAGTCCGATTTGCATATCAAGAACCAAAAGACGACCGATGGTACACCCGAACTGAACTTCTAGAGACAGCTCCCGATATAGTCAAGGCCTATGAAAGAGATAGAAAAGGTAAAGGTCCTGCCTTGGACTAAAATTTTATCGGAGGACCTCGAATTTAGGCCGGCGGGAGTGAAACGGTATTCACCAGTTCGCAGTAGCTGATGCAGACCCTAGGGCTCGATCCCTAGATCCCCACCTTACCTGGGKACARTACCTGTRTCAACCYGTAGAGTTGAACCTGCGACCTGTAGGATCGCCAGTGGTAAGTAGGATGTCGTAGGTTAGAGGGTATAGGGGATTCGAACTGTAGACCTGTCGGGTAGGAGTCTAGACAGCCCAGAGGTCGTAGCTGTAGACTTTCCGAAAGGTCAAAGTCGTAGCTGCTACTTACCTGAAAAGGCAGAGTCGTAGCTGCTACAGTACCGAAAGGCCAAGTAGAGGTTTCTAGAAGTGGCTTTTCAGAGTCAGCCCCAGTTTAGGCAGAGGCAAGTGGGCAAGTGGTGGAAGTCCACCACGCAGAGTCAGCAGTCCCAGTCCAGTCAGTTTGGTCCAGTCAAGCAAGTACCGTCTGGGACTGTGTACACCGTGGGCCAGGGAAACAGGGCAGACCAACGAGTCACAGAAGTATAAATCAAGAGGCCGCGCACAGCCATTCATTCATTCCTGCGGAAGCCATGCGGAAGCGCTGCCTCAGCGTCTTGTGCGAGGAGGTCTGCAGTAGGCCCGAAGCTGAAGTGGGCAAGAGTGACGAAGTAGCCATAGCGATAGGGTAGAGGCAGCTAGTGCTGCCATAGCTGTAGCTTAGGGTGTTGTGTGTGTGTGTTGTGTGAGAGTTCGGGGTGTCGCGTGTGGGATATCCAGGGTGATCCAGTGTGTGAACAGTGGGTTGTTGGGCGCAGTCGCCATAGCAAGTGGAAGTGAACTCTTACCTGGAAGCCATATCTCTGAGTACTGTGTGGGCGCTTGTCGCCAGTTTGCTCTGCTGCTGTTCACGTGCATGAAAAGTGTGAATAAGACGAGTCTGATTGCACTTGTTGGTATATCTACTATATCATCAACTCTTCTTTTTTTTTTTTGTCAAAAGGCAATTCAGCTTCTATGTAATTTGCAAGGTACCTTTGTTACTGCTCTTTCCTCCCCCCACCCCCCCTTCTTCCTTGTTGCATTACATTTCTTTCTTTCTTGTTTTTTCCTTTAAACCGCTGTTTCACCTGAAGCAGAGTACTGCTCTTACCGGTATATACTAGGTAAGCGCATTTCGATTTGGGCCCGGGTTTGTAGCAAAAAGGGGGCAGGCCACTTTGAAAAAAGCGCGCAGTTGCAGGGTTGCGCGCGAGCCTCGGAAGGTAGCGTTGTCAACTTAGGCTTCTGTGAATGCATTGTTTAAAGTTTAAAGTTTAAATCACCACTACCTCTTCCAGGCAAACTTTTGCGACGACGAAGGTGAACACCAATCCATTCTTTGAGGGCTCAGCCTCCCATACCTTTTTGGCTGGCGCCGCCAGGCTTGGCGTCAGGCAAAAGGGAAAAAGAAAAGATTGCAGTGCCAGAGGCTCGGAGGTCGTGGTGGTTTCAAAGGCACCTTTGTTCCTCTTCTTTTTGGTCATGTTTGAAAAACGAAGGACTGTGGGTCTTTGCTGTGACCATTCCCTTTTTTTTTCCAGAAGTACTACTGCGAGGAAAACAACTTTTTCATATCCCCAGAAGAACAACCATTCCACTGACTAGTGCATATTCTCGTGCATCGTCAACATATATGTACTCAGGGACACTGGTGAAATGAGCCAAGCACTCGTCAAGTTCAAACTCGCATACATCAATGAACATTCACATGAGAGATCACACGTGAGAAGCCAAATCGAGATACAATCAACTCTTGAAGATGTCATCTCCAATACTATTATCGATATACAAGAATGTTTGTCCCCAGCGGCTCTGCCGCACACCCAGACACACATGACAGGTCTCAATCAGGTGGCGTCTATGGCTTCTCTCTTCCCTCTCTCTCTCTCGTCTCTCTTCTCCCTCTGACTTGGCTCGCTCTGCCTCACTCTCTCTCTCTCTCTCTCTCTCTCTCTCTCTCTCTCTCTCTCTCTCTCTCTCTCTCTCTCTCTCTCTCTCTCTCTCGCCTAGGTCGTCACCTTGGATACACCCACTTAGGTAAGCTTTACACCTTGGCGGTTATGGCCGCCATCCTCCTGCTCTATCTCTACCCTAGCTATGGAGTGTCTCCCACACGCCCTCTTCTTCTTCAGGCGCACAGTGCCCAAGTTGCCTTAACGCACAAGCAGCAGCAGCGCTTCCTCATCTCGCAACTGAACAAGTGATGAGCCGACACACTGTAGCAGCTAAATATAGGACTTGGCTCCCTTCGCTTGGCTTGGCTTGGCCTGCTTCAGACCGGTACCGGTCGGCCGCGGCCTGTCTGCTGCAAACATTTTGTCGGTCCGGTACCTTCCGGACTTTCCTGGGACGTGCTGCAAATTGGACTTGGAACTGTCGGCCTGGACGGGACTCTTCTGGACTTTTCTTGTCAGGTACCGGACAGACTTCTACTGACCTAAGACTTTTCGGTACCAACACCCTTCCAACCTACGACGCTTTGGACTACAGACCCTACGGCCTATCCTACTGGGGCAGCCTGGGACGGGACACTTCGGGACTCTACGACCGGGACTGGGACTGGGGTGTCTGCAGCATGAATCCTTTCGCTGGGCCCGTTTCCCAGCAGGTGACGCTCCCCACCAACAGATGGAGCGGCCAACACTGTCGTCTTACCAGGAGAGGCTGCTCATACCACCCCCCCTTAGTAGGGCGACTCTCGCGGAGTCTTGCCTGAATTAAAATTTAAGGAAAAAAAAAAAAAGCATCCACTACCTGGTCGAGGATTCCTTCTTAGTATTTAGTACCCTGTTCCTGTTTTCAAGAAGCGAAGCATGAAAAGGATTTATTAATTTTATTTTTCTTTCTTCAAGTTTCTTGTGGTTAACCGTGCTTCTGTTATTTCTTTTTCCGTCTTGCAGTTTAAGTTTAAACCATGCTCCTGTTCCGGTTACGTATGACAGGTTACTGACTTGACATTGTGGGACGCTGCTTCTGTTCTTATTATGATTATAAATTTATAAATTTATAACGTGCAATTATGCAATATTATTATGTGTATATACTGCCACTATCTGCTTGTGGCTCCATGCATTCTTTCCACCAGCAAGTCTGATACCTTTGTTTTTTTTTTTTGTTTTTTTTTTTGGTTCAGGTAAATCGAGTACGGGCTGTCATTGCGGAGGGTGTATGCGAGATATGGTTGAGCAGTGAGGACACGGGTGCATATGGTATGTGCAGTCTTTCTTAAATTGCTGTTCTTGCCAACCTTCTCACATGGCTGTCTTCTTGCTTGCTTCTACGCCCCCTGTTCATTCGTTACCTCTACAATTTCTCTCTACCAAATGTATGGTATTATATACCTGCTTTTCCCATGGTTAAAACTTAATAGGTTATTCAGCCTGCCTGCCATTGTGAGCTTATCAGAACTTAACCTTTTTTTTTCCCTTTGGAACTTAACTTTTGCCATGATGTAACGTGTGTACTAAAATATCTCTGCCATTGTGAGTTGATTGCAACTCAACTCTTTCCATGTTACGTAAGTGCTGAGTAGTGCTTAATGCATAAAAGACGAGCCTCCTGATGAGTCGGTGAAACTCCAATGAAACACTTTGTCACAGCCCCTCGTTTGTTGTTCCCTTCTCCCTCTCTGCCTACGGTTTACCGGGCAGTTCTATTTGACGATATATAGCAATAGTACTATAGTAGGTAGTAATCACAACTACTAAGGGCATAAATGATAAAAATATGAATAGTCATTCTAGACTTTTTCTTGACCGAATTTGGTCGTCAGAACAGCCGGATACATTCAGGAAAGAGCCGGTCCGAGTATGCTCCTCCCTACTGGCCCCCTACCCCCCCCCCTCGATGTATGGCTCTAAACTTTTGAAGTCATCAAGCAAGAGTTGGGTACAAAACAAGTTCACTCTCAAAAAAAATGGAGATGAGCAAAGAGGCATATGCATCCATGGCAGGAGTTGTCAGTTAGTATGTGTGTCCATTACCACTCGCAGTATGCAGCGCTAACCCTTGTGCTTGTCGTTGGCTGTGTCACCCCTTGCGATACCATGTGGACGCGACACACATGGTACGAACCCAGCTCCCACATTGGGTTAGCACTGTGTGCGTACGAACCCTTGAGCTTGTCCTCAGCTGTGGTGGATTCGTACGCATGTGCACTAACCCTTGTGCTTGTCCTTAGCAGGCATATGTTGTGTGCTCCAACATATGTACTTGTCCTTAGCTGTGGGGCGGATTCGTACGCATGCACTAACCGTTGCAGATTGCAATACTATGTGTGGCATTGTGTGCGCTAACCGTTGTGCTTGTCCTTAGCTGGCTCTTGTGGATCGGTACGCGCGTGTGCTAACCCTTGTGGTACACATGCGCTAACCTTGTGCTTGTCCTTAGCTCTTGTGGAATAGTATGCATAGCTATTGTGGAGTAGTACGCATGCGTTAACCCTTGTGTTTGTCTGTGCTATTCCCTGCAATACTATATGTGTGCTAACCCTTCTGCTTGTTCTCAGCTGTGGTGGCTTTCTACGCATGCGCTAACCCTTGCAGTGTGTGTGCTCGAACCCTTGTGTGTCCCCTTGCCTGTGGATTTGACTATTAGTATGGGTGTGCTAACTCTTAGTTCCTGTGGATTCGACTATTATTATGGGTGTGCTAACTCTTAGTTCCCGTGGATTCGACTATTATCATGGGTGTGCTAACTCCTCTAAGTTCCTTTGGATTCGACTATTATTATGGGTGTGCTAACTCCTCTTAGTTCCCATGCAGTAACCCTTGTGGTTGTCCTTAGCTGTTGATTGGATTGGCGAACAGGTAGAGACATCGGGACGAATCTCCCAGAACTTCTGCAGGCCTTATTGGCAGAGCTTCCGACCGACGGGAGGACAATGCTGCGAGTCGGGATGACCAACCCTCCATACATCTTACAGCATCTCGAAGCCATAGCTGAAATCCTTTGCGACGCTCGGGTCTATGCCTTTCTCCACGTGCCGGTCCAGTCAGGCAGTGATGCAGTTCTTAAGGTGAGAGAAGGGGAGGGGACCTGCCAGCTGCTCTCCCCCAAGTCTTCTTCACACTTCTTTTTTCCCATTTGAATTGTGGCGTTCTCTCTCCCCCTTTCCTTCTACCCCAACTCTTTTCAGTCCTTTCCGTCTCCACCTTACACACCTGTCATGTTTTGAATCCGGGGTTTGTTCACACTTTCCCATCAAAGAAATCGCGTCTCTTTTTTGTTTTTTCTTGTTTTAAAGGACCACTACCTTTCATGTACATCGGCTGCAGGGAGAGTCCCCGCTCGTCGCAGAGGTCGAAACGGAACGGCGGCCACCACTGACATTTATCAACGACGGCCGCCGTCGCACCAGGTCCCCGAAGAATGTGGTACAGGACCATAGGTTATATTCCCACTTTTTTCCCCAGCACTGTGAAAGGTAGTGGCGGTTTGACGAAAATTTAATAAAATGCTGGAAACCGGGTCTAGCGTCCCTCATGTCATTGTATATCACATTTATCATCAAGTTAGGTTTGTCTTCTCAGGACGTAGTCACTGCTGTGTACTTTCTCGACTGAATCTGGTCTTAGCTATGGTGAGATACATCCAGGAAAGTCCTTTTTTTTTCTCTCCTCTTTTTGGTGTGAGCACTGAGCATGCCCCCCCCTAATTTTTGGAGTGCTAGTTGCTTTCTCAAATTCGTTTTCATGTTTACTGCTCTTCTTCGTTCGTTTCGGATTTAAATTTTAATGTATATCTGTCCCAAGACTCCCGACCAATGTGTCTTTTTCTTTTCTTTCCCTTCCTTCTTTTTGCCAAGCACTGTAGTAAGCAGCAGTTTGTCGTCTTCCACGGCCATGCTGATCTTTCTACTCTTTTTTGTAATTCCTTTTCTTGAATTTCTTCTCCCCATTGTAATCCTGATTTGGCTATCCGCGTAAACATGTTGTTATTAACTTATTAGGTACAAGTGGACCCCGCCACGGCGTAGCCGTGGCGCACAGCAACACTCGCTGATCTCTCTCTCTCTCTCTCTCTCTCTCTCTCTCTCTCTCTCTCTCTCTCTCTCTCTCTCTC